AGCAGAAGAAACATTCGGGTTTAGCTGCACGTCTCTCAGTATGTCTAAACCTGAATGATTCTAGTTCTAGGGCTAGTGTTAGTTCTAGTTTTAGTTCAATAAAAATATACAACAAAGTAATATCTTATGCTAACTAGCGCTATCTACCACTGCCACTAGAACTAACACTAGACCGAGAACTAGAAACATTCGGATTTAGTCCCACGTCTCTCAAGACGACTAAACCCGAATGATTCTAGTTCTAGGTCTTGTGTTAGTTCTAGTTTTAGTGCAATAAAAATATGCAATATAGTGATATCTTATGCTAACTAGCGCTACCTACTGCTGTCGTTTGTAAAATGGATAAGATGAGAGATGTTAATCTATTTGTAGAGTCTCTGAAGATGGCCAAGGTCCGAAACTAGTTAGACTTAAATTCTATATAAAATAAAAGATAAACTTTTAATTTTATACTAACATCTAGAAAACGACACTGGTCCGAAATTGTAGGTATTATATATTTCTATTTTTTCTATTGTTGAATTTCTTGGTGTATCTAAATGTCGCATGTAACTCGGTTCTTAGACGTATGATGCAACTCGAACTTGAAATCGAATAACGTGATTGGCGCTTAGCTTTATCCTTTCAAACAAATGGTATTTCAGGTCTTTCGGTATTCTCCATTCTTTCTAAGATAAGTTACACCTTTACCTGTCAGACAGTATGAAAATCTCTAAAAACGATAAAATGTCGCTTAGTCAAGTGATGTATAACGCGGTCCAATTAAAACTAGAATTAACACTAGATTAGAACTAACACTAGACCTAGAACTAGAAACATTCGGGTTTAGCCGTCTTAACTCATACAAGCATAGTGGTACGAATAATCAATCACATTATTTGTAACCTTATCGGCACGGTGGTCTTTAGATTGTATCTCCAAATAAATATTTTGCTGATGGTATACGCGCAGTCTAAAACGTACCACTTGCTTTACCACTTAGAGTATGACTAATGTTCTTTATCGAGTTTTACATGTCTGAACCTGCCACATACACACTCGTTGGTTTGTAATCTTTTATTAGACGTAGTTCGTGAAGGTGGTGCATTAGATCACGAGTTATTCCGACAAAACAAAAGTGAAAACAATTGTGTGATACTATAACAATCACCAACAACTCTGGTAAATACTTTATATTGAATTTATATCATAATTTATTTTTATTTTTTCCTTGATTTGAATTGTAAAACATTTCTATTTGAACAAAAAAATTAGAAATTCAATTATATTTGAACTGATTAAAAATTTCAGACTTATTTT